GGCTGGGCCTGGGGCTGGTTGTGGAGTGAAGAGGCAGTGTGGAGGGAAGGGGGTGGTCAGCCACAGCCAGAATTGGTTTTAGGAATGACTTTCCTCCGGAATGTGCTCATTATGGCTGCCATGGCACCGCTGGAATGTTCACCAAGTCCTACTGGCTGGTGGAATGAATCGTATACTGCAGAATTATCATACAGTTAAATGCAAATTTGGGAATTCAGCGAAGTATCAGGATGCAGCCCCTTTCAATGCAGGCATAAAACATCTCATGCATTCAGCGTTTTATGTGTGTGAATCTTACACCTGCCTTGACAGTGGGGCCCATGATGGGAGGTGGGTGGCATGGAGCAGCGCCAAGTGTTGTTGTCCCTGGCCCCTTAGGGCTGTTCTCCCAGGCCCTGTCTCTGGGTGGGTGTTGGGGCCGCCACTGGATGTTTTCCCAGCCCTGTGGTCACAGCCCTTTCCCGGGAAACCGGTCACTTTTGGCCTCACTAGCAGCCTCCAGCTGGAGACCTGGAGGAGTCAGAAGGGCCCTGGCATCTCTGGTGTTTCCGAGGTGCCCCAGCCAGGATGCCTTTCTGGGACAAGTGGGATGGTGTGGGTTTGGTGTCTGATTCCTCATGGAATGGCCGGTGGTGAGCAGTGGGGGTGCTGACACCCGAGTGGGGTGGTGCCCAAGAGGGAGGAGCACGGTGGGGCCTGCACGGCCAGAAGGCGGGACAGGAGACCCTCAGGCTGGGACTGTGGGGGAGCAGGCCCAGCGAGTGTTTCAGGGAGTTTTCCTAGAGTATGCCTGTTCTCTCCGGAGTCATTCTGAGGGACGCAGCACAGAACATTTCTGCGGCTTCCTGTGATGCCTCAGCACCCGAGTGTTCCTTCAGACGGGACTCTGTGGGGCAGGGAGCCCGAGGGTCCCGGTCCCATTTCAGGGTCAGGAGGACTGCTGACCATGGGGACAGGGTCGGCGTGAGGCCAGGGGCAGGCCCAAGAGCCCAGAACCAGAAAGCGACCACCAGAGGAACATAAAAATATAAATGATTTCTGCAGCCATAGAAATATAAATTATAGGGCTTGTTTATTTCCAAAACGGGATTTGAGATGACTCATGATAACCACGTTTAAAGCAGGGGGAGATGGCGGGTGGACTGCACGCCTTCGGTTGTTTCCAGCCTGCGGCCTCATTGAACAATAGTAAAGCGATTGCTGGCAGTTATAAACACAAAAATAAAGAGAGTGGGAGAGGATCCTTCAGAGGATGAGGGATTTCAGTGCATGTGGGGGGCATTGGAGAGTGTCACACGGGCACTTACGGGGGCAGAGCCGAGGAGGGGGCGTCAGTCCTCAGGGGCTGGAGTGCCCAGGGGGGAGAAGGCTGTGCACCTGAGTCACGGGCTTACGTTGAAGATCACCATCTGATTCCCTCCCCTCCAGACTACTTGGCATTTAAACACAGCTCCCCCACCCAGACAATCCCACCTCCCCTGCAAATTCACCAAACAACCAGCTGACCAAGCAAGGGTTCTGCTCTAAAGAAGTCTGAGTTGTTCTGGCAGGCCTAAAGTTGGCTCGGCCCTGCTGGGTACCCCAGAGCCGGGCGCTGGTGGCCCGGCATTACTGACCCCTCCCGTGAGCCCTGTGCCCGAGGTCCCGAGTTACGCCCCGCCCCGGCTTCCTCCGCCAGCGTGAGCTCTGCCAGCTGCCGGCCCCTTCCCCAAGCAGCTTCAGCCACCCGCTCCACTAAGTGAGCACCCAGGCAGCAGTTGCCAGCAGTCATTTAAGGAAAGCTGGCGATGTGAAGCGAAGAGCAAAGAAAAACACTCAGGAAAAAAAAAACGCAGAAGAAAAGAGCATTCAGAGACGGACGTGGCAGCCATGGAGGTGTGCCACCGGATCTGCCTCCCAGAAACCCTGCAGCTTGCCCAGCTCTGCCTGGGGAGCCTCCAGGCTCTGCCCTGCCTTCAAGCTGAGGCCGCCTGTGCCCCCAGGCAGTGAGGGCGAACAGCAGGCCCCAGGCTCACCGTTCCTGGCCTGGGGGGCTCCGCTAGGAATGTTCTCTGCACAAGGGCTCCCAAGAGGGCGTGGGGACGTGCTCAGAGCTGCACGGCAGACCTTCCCTTCTCCCCTGAGCCCGCTGCCCTTCCCAGGAGCCGGTCTGCACCGCGTCTGAAGGTGCTCCCCGCCTCCTGCTGTCCTTGCCCCTTGACTTTTCACAGGTGTGATGACCAATACACCTCTTGCATCTGTCTTCTGCTTTGCAGAGGCCCAAGAATTGGGTTTAGAGATGAGATCACTCACAGCCTGGCTGGCAAGGGAACCCCATCCCAAGTGGCATGTGGGCTGTGGATAATCCCTGGCACAAATGCGTGGCTCAGAGCCAACAATTTTAATGGAGCTGACTTGGAAGACTGTCCCCGTGAAAGGGATGCCCTGACTAGTGTGGTCATCCAGCCTGCAGATAGGGAGGCGGCAAGCCTGTGGAGACAGTGGAGATGGCTGGTTCTCAGCGCTTTGCACCGGACACCGTGCCCACTTCCCGACTATGTCACTGGGAAGGATGTGTTTGGCAGAGTGTCACCCTGTGCCGGATCCTTACCACGAAGGGAAGACCAAGGGGGAAACTTGGAGCCTACCCACCCCCGGCTTCAGCTAGTGGTGACCAGAACAATGGCACATTCTGGAAGGTGGGTGGGTCGGCGCGATCAGCACGGCCCATGAGGATTTTAAGAGTGCAGGGCCGCTGGTCCCTCTCACACCTCTGCTTACCACCCAGCAGGTCGTGAAGCTGGGTGCGCCCCGCCAGTCTGTTCTTACATGGGGATGGCACATCTGGGCTGGAGCCCTGAAGCACCCGAGGGCCCAGGGAAGCTGAGTGAGGTGGCCTGGACCCCCATGTCGCCTCTGCCAGTGGACCGGTGTCCTTCCCCCAGCAGGCGTCTCCGTCATGCGTGTGGGTCTGGGGGACCTGCGGAGGAGGAAGCAGCCAGGCTCTGCAGATGGCTGAGCCTGGAATCTGGCGGCAGCTGGAAACACTCCCTGTCCCTCTGATTCTAATCACCACAGTCTCCTCTGCCAAGAAGTCCCATTCGCTTCCAACTGTCTTCAGGTCTGCTTTGCAGATGGTCTCGCCAACACAATGAAAGACAATGAACAGAACAAAAGAGCAAGGACAGAAAACTTCAATATGAAAAAAAGAAAAACTCAAACCAAACCCAGATTCACTTGTATTTTCAATGAATTAAAGAAAAAGATAACACACTCATGCAGCATGAACACAGGGCTATGAGAATAGGAGGGTCCCGACAAGAAAGTGCTGTGAGATAAAAAATAGAGGAAAATATTTAACACACGTGTGGGAAGTAGAAGAAATCACCCAGAAAATAGTACTAAAAAACCAAAGAAACAGGGATTATAGAGAAAAGCCACAGCAGATCAATCCAAGAGACCCAATATTTGGTTTCTGAAAGTACTGCTGGGGACAGTCCCTTCTGCTCTCGAAGGACACCGCTGGGGTGACCTGCTGCCCGCTTCTCTCTTGTCCTCACCAGTAAGTTTGGGGAGGTGACCAGGTCAGGTGGCCCCATCTGTCTTCCTCGGGAGGGGAACTGCCTGCCGGGCATGTATTTCCTGCTCTGTCACCTGGTCGGGTGTCCACTGTGGCCCCACGTCACTGTGAGTGGGTGGGCAGGCCGGCCACATTCCATCACGTTCAGTGGTCGCCGTCATATTCGGTGGTCGCCGTGAGGCACACCGTCGCCTTGGCCTTCTCCGGCACCGTGGGGGCTGCTGCCGACCTCCCACTGGCTCCCTGCATCTCATTTCTCAGTTTACTCTTCGTCTGTCCTCCGCTGCCTAGAGAAGCTGACAAGGACAGGGGAAGTGAGGGATGGCCTTCCCAAAGAGAAAAGAGGGGCAAAAAGATACAAAGAAATAAATATCAGACTGGCAGCAGGTTTCTCACCAGCAGCATCAGATGTGGAAGATAATGGAGCAAAGTCTTCAAAGTTCTGAGGGAAAATGATTCATCCCAGAGCTCTACACCCAGGTCAGCGACTGCTGAAGGGTGAGGGAGTAACAGGTTAGCGGAGACATTTCCATACACATAAGATCTCAGGAAGTCTGCCTCCCGCACACCTCTCCCTGGGAAGCTGTGGGAGGACAAACCCCCAAAGGAGACTCAAGAAACAGGCCGACCGGTTTCTAGGAGGCAGTGCATTCAATCCCGAGGGCATGATGCCCGTACGGACTATGACCAGGCCACAGAGAGGGGCTCTGAGAGGGGCCGCCGGGAAGGGCGGAGATGGTGGAACTGTCTGCAGTCTTACACAGGAAGACAAGAGGGTGCAGATCTCCAAGGGGCCATTCTGCTCCATGACACTGAAAGAGGGGTAAAAAGCTGTACAAAGGAGGGTGGCCCTCAATTTTTACTCACTTAAGAGATGCTTACATTCTGCGTGGCACAGAAAGGGTACAGTGGCAGACCGGCTTCTCCTGGGCGTGCATCCCTTTGCATGGCCATTTCCTTCTCTGAGCTTGAGGACCTTCACATGGGCCTTGCTCCCTGTTGGCTGGCCTTCCTCTGGGGTTGGCTGATTGTCTGGCTGTTGAACGTCACCCTGATAGCCCCATGCATTGCTCCTAGAACACCAGACCTCCGTGATGGAACACGAATTCATTGCCGTTTCAAGGTGGGCATTTCAACAGGGCAGAGCCTTGCTCCAGGGAAGGGGCCACATGGTGATTTTAGGTGATGGGGTGAGTCAGAAAGGGGCATTTTAGGGTGGTAAGTATTCCTGAAATGATAGTCATAAAAACTCAGGCACACACTTAAAAAGAATGGTAAAAATAAAAGAGCAGAAATGGGATGAAGAAAGGGGTGGGGAAAGAGTGTACCAGAAACACTGCGTATTATTTCTCAGAAGTGCTGACATTTTCTGTTTGGGGCCTGTTGCCTAGTGAAATTCCACAACTGCAGTGTCACCCTGCTGGACCCAGGGCTGTCCAGAGCCCTGTGAAACCAATAGCTTCTGCTATTCTAATATATGGGTCAATGGAAAACAGTTGGAAATCTGGTAGTTGCTTAAAATTTCACTGGCCAGGACCGTGTTTGAATACACATATTTATAATTTAGTTAATGCTCTAATAAATTACACAGAGAGGCAGTTAGAAAATGTAAGTCAGGATCTTTTTTGGGGTGGGTGGAGTAGAGGAGTTGGAACGTGGTGCTGGGAGGAAACTCGAGGGCTTTGGCCCCTGTCCCCTTGCTGGGGAGAGGCTGCGATGGGCACGGCTCTGTGAGCCATGCAGGACTGGGGTCCACCCTCGGGTCTGCCAACTCCAGCTGGCCCCCTTCCGTGACAGAGGTCATGACTGAGGCCTGCAGGACACATTAGTTTTCAAAGAAAATTTGCTCCCACATTTTAAAATGCAGATATCCCACAAGATGGGACATCTCCAGCTTCTCTTGAAAAGCTGGGAAGTTCTGGCCATCCTGGGCTGGCATTCCTGAAGGCAGTGGGGTGTACTCTTTAGGCCCTGTGGTTCCCACCTCACCTTAACCACCTGGAACTACAGAAATGGGGTGTGGAGAGGGTTCCGAGAGGGGTGGGGCCAGAGAGAGGAAGGAAGCACCTAGGGACCCCAAACTGGTCTCTGGAAGTTTATAAATGCATATGTACATGCTTTACACACACACACACACACACACACACACACACACACACACACACACACATGTACCTACATGTATCTGGCAGGTGTCAGCCTGGTGTCAGCCTGGGAGCCTGGGCTCGGATGTGTGGACCCCCTAAAGGGTGAGGAGAGCATGGAAGCTGACCCTCTTAAGCCCTGTGGTGCCCCAGATTGAACCTACAGGGAAGGGAAGACATGGCCAGCCTGGAGCAGCCGGGCCGCGGCCTGAAAGCCTGCAGGGTTCCAGAAAGCTACCGATACCTTGAGACATACCTTTGGAGAGCGAATATCCCAGTAAAGATTGGATAGAACTGGTTTCTGAGAACCTACATACCACATTTAATTAAAAGATAAATTAAGACAATTTATATATGATATGTATTTTATATTTATATATTTTAAATATTTATGTAATATATAACAATATATAATAGAATTATATTTTAATAAAATTATATAATATAAAATCCTGATTATATAAATATGTATTATTTACATTTATTATATAATATTATTTATGTTATTGTATGATATACATAATATAGTAATATAATAAAATGTAATACAATTGATAATTTATATCCTGACTTTTTCCTAAAGCAACTGAGATCCCTTATTACACAGGCACATACTCATATAAGAGGTGATTTAAAAAAATAATTTTTAAATTAAGAAGTGAACAGTTGGAAAAAATGTATAAGATCGAGGTCAAAAAGGTGCATTTTTTTCTTGAAAATGAGTTATAGAAAGAGCTGATCACATGGCTTCTGAGACTAAATTCTTGTCTTGAAGTATCAATCCGCAGAGAATGGTCTCAAAACTGCCTTCCTGTGGCTTTGCCCTGAAGATGCTGATGACATGGTAAAGAAGGTGTTTTGGGGCCAAGCTGACGGGCCCAAGGAGGCGACTTTCTGCCTGGCGTGCAGTGCAGACGGGCTTGGAGGGCCACAGGCTCCGCCAACCCTCAGAGCGAGCCTCCAAAATCATCTGCTCTCAGAAGGCTTAAAAAATCAGAAGAGGGGCATTGCAAATGCCTGTTGTCAGTCTGGGATAATAAAAATGATTTTTAAACAACCTGTACATTTCATGGCATCTTGCCAGAGCTCAGGGCAGTTAACGGAATAACACAGTGTCCGTTTCCTCCGGTTGTGCTTCCGCACCTCTTTCTGGTGCATTTAGGCAAGACGACTTACAGAAACACTCCCTGTCCCCACCAGGGCTGTGGGGAGGATGGGCCATTCCACACGGAAGAGCTTCTCCGGAGGAAAGCAGTCCCTTCACCGCAGGCACTGTGATTAGGAGGAAATCTTAAATCTGCCGGGCAGATGGGAAGTGATCTGCAAACTGTGCGGGTTCTTCTGCTGCTGGCACGTCTGCCTCCTCTCTGACCGTGGGGTGGGGCAGCCTGGTCCCAGGGTGCGGAAGAGCTCTCGCGTCCCCTCCTCTCTCCTTCCCTCCTCTTGTCTCCTAAGGCTGCTGCAGCGTTTTTATTTACATAACCCCATTACATGCCCACAGCACGCCGTTATGCAGGTCAATTCCAATTACTTTAGACATTACTAACTTTAAAAGGGTATGTGTGACAAAAATAATCCAAATTATGGATTCACTTTTTTTTGTTTGTTTTGTCTTTTCCTGTGTTTTTCTTTCAGTTTTGCCAAGGCTGGAATCAGATCTGTTCGTTGTTGTCACCAGTTCCCAGCCTATGCTGGCCACGAGCAAACAAACAGCAAATACTGAGGAATTAGTGACGTATCAATCCGATGCACTCTCCGAACCCCTCCTCCAAGGATCACTGCGCGAATGACCGCAGCAGCCGCTGTGGCTGGAGGAGGGTGCCAGCGCTTGTCCCTCCTGTGGGCCTGGGGGAGGAAGGACCTGGGGCTGCTGTGCAGCATGCTGGTGGGCACGGCCATGTTGGGGTGGAAATCCTGTGGTGTTGGAAGGAAAGCTGCCCCACCTTTGTTCCTCCTCACCCAGCAAAGAGCCCCTGACAGTCCTAACAGGATGAGGGAGGATGGGGAGGGAAGCTTCTAGGAGGTATTGTTAGGTTCTAGTGGCCTGATAGAGACGACTCTTGAGGCCTGGTCCCACGAGCAGGGCTTCATTCATTGTCTCCTGGGGTGACGAGGAGAAACAGGGGACATGAAGACAGACAGACAGCAGCTCAGGAGTACCACAGGGGCAGTGAGAACGTCAGGGTATGGCTGGAGCAGCGACGTGACTGACGCAGGCATCCTGAGCTGCTTCCACCAGTTCCAACTCATCGCCAGACCTGCCACCTCGCCTCGCACTCGTGGCCGCACGGACATGCTTTCAGGTGTCTGCTCCCATGGGGCAGAGCCAGGAGCCACCCCTCTGCTCCCGCTGTCCCCTCTGCTCAGGATGCGCTTCTCCCCCACTGCCTCCTGCACGTTCCAGAACCATGTTAGGCATCCTTTCCTCCAGGAAGGCTTTATGACCCCCTCGTGCCGGTGCTTGTCAAAGATGCAGGTTCCCGGGAGGGAGTGAGACACCCTGGAGGAGAGGTGTTGGAGGGGAGCTGGCATTTTCAATAAGCTCCTAGGTGGTTCTGACATGCAGCCAGGTTTGTAATCACTGCTCTACTCTGAGCAGCTCACAAAGGCCTGGATACTCACATACTTAGTTCTGGGTGAGCAAAGGCTGTGGGTACTTGTGTACTTAGGTCCAGGTGAGCTCCGTCAGGCTCCATGAGTTCCTCAAATGTTCTCCCTGGAGATGAGCCTCCATTCAGATGCTGGGTGAGCACCCCCATGCACGTCGGCATGCACCCCTGACATGAAAAGTGGGTACTTGGCTCGTTTGACCCTGAAGGTCCTCAGGGGGATGGATGGATGAGCGGTTGGGCATCAGGTGTCTGGCCCTGGCTCACAGAAGGCCACCTGCACATTGCAGAATAAACAACAACTGACATCTCAAGGTGCTTTCCAAGGGTCTGGGTTTGTTCCAACCTCTTCATGTGTTAACATACGTCCAGAATCTGCACGGGCAGCTATTCCCATGAGCCCCGGCTTATTAGGAGGAAGTTGGCACTGGGAGCCTTCGGACCTGGCACCAGCGTGCTCAGCACAGCTGGCCTTCCAGCTGTCCTGCTGGCCCACACCTGCGTGAGCTGGTCTGGCTCTCTGAAAGAAGAGCCTGGGATGGATTCTTATGCAAATGACCGATCAAGGGGTGGCCCAGGAGGCGCCTGCAAGGGAGGGCAGCAGCGGGAGGCAGGAGGGGACAGGGCAGGAAGGGAGGCGAGGGTGGGCTCAGCGAGGAGGCTCTGGGGCACTGGTAGACCCGGCCCTGGGGGCGGGCATAACTTCCTGGCACTCTGGGGAGGTGGCTTCATCAGTCAAGGACAGCTCTGCAGGTGAGAGCCTTTACCAGCCACTGGCCATGGGCTCCCCAGGCCGGAGAAAGGATCCCAGGGCTGGGCAGGGCCCGCAGGTGGCTGTGAGAGGCCCCTCCCTGAGCACCATGTGTCCCCAGGTCCAAGGGTGGCCGGGTGACCCCTGGAAGGAGGTGCACTTGGAGAGTGGCAGCCACCAGCAGCCTGTCCTGACCTCCAGGTATCTCTCTACAATGACCTGAAGGGGACCTTACCTGGGGAATTAGGTGACAAAGGACATCCTCTGTGCTGGGGATCACATGCACGTGTCTGTTTTGTGTCTCTAGCCTCTGGCAGGTCCTCGCATGTGAAAGCCTAAGGGGCAGCTTGCTTGTATGAATGCATGAACAAATGAATGAATGATATCTCCAGCCTTTGCCGCCAGGCTCCTGGTCACGGCGCCAGTGGGGACGCTGTCCTAGAGGACCAAGGGCTGGGTCTCTGCCCCTTCTCAGTCCCCCAGGAAGTAGGCTTGCCGCCCACCCACCCCCTCCCGGTTTGCCTGCCAGTTTCCACATACGTCTGCAGTGCCTCATCAGGTGTCCCTGGGTGTTCCCTCAGGGCACGGCTGCTGCTCTGCGGGTGAGCAGTGACGGGGCAGTTTTTGGTGTCCCCAGTCACGGCTCAGGGCTGGAGAGGTGAGACGAGGAGAGGGCGCGGTGGGGCACTGGC